AGGACTGCAATGTAAGAGTTATGTTGTTGAGAGGTGAATAATGAATAGTCAGCAATGGATTGTTTAAATCCAATGGCAATGAGGGCTTGAGTGAATTTTGCAAACCATTGCCAAGAAACCTACTTGAGACCATATAAAGATGTGTTTAGACGACAAACACGATGGTCCCCATGTGAGAGTAGGCCAGGAGGTGGGAATCCTGCATGGCCTGATGACCAGTGGGTCCACAAGTGTCCAAGTCCCATTATGATCCAAGTCATCCAACTCTTCTCTCATGGCTTACTGCCAATGGGAATCCTGCATGGCCTGATGATAGGAGGAGGGTTCAGTTGGTGGTGTGGTGGAGGTGGTTAAGGCTTGAGGAGAAGAAATGGATGGAGGAATGTTACAAACAAGGTCATGAAGGTGAGATGGTATTTTGCGAGTACGAGTGGGTCTATCAAGAATGGAAAGTTCATTGGGTCTGGTTGAGGGGTTAGGGGGAGAATTATGAGTACTAGGCACAACATTGTGTCCATTGTCCAGCTCTGGTGAGAATGAATACCTATGTTATTAGGGTCATGTTGGGTAGCAACTAGCTTGGGATGAGAGTCAAGAGAAAGCAGGTCATCAACATATTTAGTGGGAGTTACCACATGATCCTTAGTCGGTTGCTGGACTGAGAATGGAAACTCTTCTTCGTATAATGTGACATCACAAGTGAATATAAGCTGCTTTTCTATGTCAAACATTCGGTATCCTTTTTGGCCATAGGGATAGCCAACAAGATGCATCAAACAACATGAGTAACAAATTTATCATGAGGTTGTGGTCGAACTTGAGCGTAACATAAGGAACCGAACACTCGGAGATGACTGTAAGTAGGTGGCTTGTAATGTAGCATCTCATATGGTGACTTGCCAAATAACARAGGAGTAGGAGTGATGTTAACCAAGCATGTAGCTGTGAGACGACATTCTCCCCAAAAGGTGACTAGGAGGGAGGCTTGAGAGCACAAAGCATGAGCTACCACCAACAGATGTCGATGTTTCCGTTCAGCTATGCCATTTTGTTGTGGCGTATCAACACAACATTGTGGATGAACAATACCATGTTGAGAAAAGAAATCTAGCATGGGCCCAAAGGTGAATTAACGCCCATTATCAGACTGAACTTGGCGTATAGTTGATATTGTGTCTCAACCATTGAATAGAACAAGGTAAAAAACTGGTAAAATTCATATTTGTTTTTCATCATAAAAGTCCAAGTACATCTTGAAAAATCATCTACTATGGTAAGAAAAAAAATGAGCATTTGTGTAGGAAAGGGTCATATAGCCTCCCCAAATGTCACAATGCACTAGCTAAAATGGGGTTGTGCTCCGAATGTGGCATGACTGGAAAAGGACTCCATGGTAGCTTTGCGCGATGATAGGGATCACAACAATCATCAGAACTGGGAGGAGAGATTCCAGGGATGAGAGACATACAAGACTTAGAGGCATGGCCAAGGCATCGATGCCATAGGCTGTAACTGGTTGTAGAACTAGCAACATGGACATATGTGGAAGTGTTGAAGCGAAGGTGATAAAGACCTTCTTGAAGTTCACCCGTTCCAATTGTGGTCCTCGAGACAAGGTCCTGTATGATATAGCGATTAGAGAAAAAACAAAGTAGCACATCACAACTGTTGTGTCAGTTTACTGATAGACAATAAGTTGTAGGTAAAGCCAAGAACATACAAGACACCATCAAGAAAATTTTCAGATGTAAGAGATATTGTTCGATGGTGTGATACATTGATTTTGGTTCCATTTGGTAAGTGTATGGATTTATGGATGGGGAGAGGATTGTGGTGAAGAAGCAAGGACTTAGTGGAGACAATGTGGTCATATGCACCACTATCAAGTATCCATTCTACTGAAGAAGCAGAATTAGTCTTACAAGATAGATTGGTAGAGACATTTTCTTATGAATCCTTACTGAGAAGGGAGATCAGTTGGTTCGCATTCAAGATCAATTGGCATAAGTCTGCCACAGGGGAAGTCTGAGTTGAGGATGACGACACAATCACTATGAATGAAGTTACCTTCTTAGATTTATCAGACTTTGATTGTGCTTGCCTCTTCCATCCAGGTGGGTAACCATGGAGTTCGAAACATTTATCTTTGGTGCCCAAGCCGCTTACAGTGGTCTTAGAATGGTTGTTTACGACTAGAGGGACGCGTCATAGTATTGAGAGATGCAACTTCAAGACTGAGTGGAGTTCCAAGAGAAATCGCAAGTTGATGATGCTCTTCTTGGACAATTAGCGCATAAATCTTGTTGAGATTTGGAAGAGGATCCGATCCAAGAATGCTGGAGCAAATCATGTTGAATGAGTCTCCCAATCCCATGAGAAATTGATGAATATTTTCTTTCTCACGCTCAACCAAGAAGTATTTCACAGCACCTCCACAGTTGCAATCTTGCCGGAGTAGAGCAAGATCACACTTCAATTGATGTATGCATGGGATGTCACCTTGTCTGAATCTTTCTTCAAGTTCACGCCAGATTTCACAAGCCGGTTCATTGAAGGCAATGCTGTGATGAAGTTCTTTTGCCAATGAATTAAAGATCCACACAACTACCATTGAGTTGCATTTGATCCAGATATTCTCTTTTAGTGAGGAACTCGATGGTTTTGGCAGTCATCCACCTACAAAACCAAATTTATTCTTGGCTTGCAAAGCATTTTTCATTGCTCACTGCTAGATGCAGAAATTGTCACTGGTGAGTGGAAAGCGATGAGGGTCAGTCCTGGGTTGTTTGATGGATGAAGGTAGAAAGGACTGTCAAACAGAGAGATTATATGCTCTGATCTAATCTCTTGGTTGGAATTCATGCGCAACGAACTGGAGTTCTGTTCTTCCGCCATTGACATAGAACGGAGCAGTTCCGGTTGAAGCTACAAGGGAAGAGGAACCGAGGACGACGATCGGATCAAAGTTGGTGGCTCTGATACCATGTAAAATGTTATCGCAAAAAGGAAGAGTGCAATGGGATATGAAAACAATGTCAAATGGGAGAATAAAATGATGTGTGTAATTTATTATTTTGACACACACACACACACACACACATATATATATATATATATATATACATGCTCTAGTTGACTTGGATCAAGTAGACAAGTGGGCCTAACAAGTTGGCTACATGCTTGTTACAACTGTGTGTTTGTTACAACTGCCTGTCTTGGCTATCACGTGCCTGTCTTGACTAACATAAAGCAACAAGTGTTCAAGGACGAGAACTCCAAAACTTTAAAATTGGAGGGTTTTATGCTTTCCCTTTGGGGTAGAGTCTCAAGCTCCTCACTGCTTTTACATGACGTTTCAAATCTTGGGTTTTGGAAATGGCAACCGTAGAGAAGCCTCGCTCCCATGTTGATTTAGAAGGAGGAGGTCATCGTTGTTTTGTTGTTGCAAGCAACACAAGGAGTGAGGGAAGCATATGCTTCTCCATTGCTAAGATTGTGGCATTCCTAGTTTGGTTTCACTACCAGTGGGTCGTATGAAGAGCATAAGTTCTCCAATGTGTTTGATCTCAAGATTAGGGGACTTCGGGCCACCGCTAGAATTCTTCAATGTTAGATTGTTCGATCAAGGTAGTTTTGTAAAGTGGTGTACCAGTAATTAGGTGCATTCAGTTAAAAGTGGACAAGGATTGCAGGGTTTGTCATTTGAGATCGAAGAGTACTAATGAGGAATCTGAAATTCCTATTGAATCGGGGTTGTTCTTGCAAGGATGATTTGGCCAATGCTCATAAGAAATGCATCGATGCTTGGTTCAAGATAAGGTTACGTTTAAACCATGGTTCTAGATATTTATTTTATTATATTTAAACTCTATTTTTTAGAATATAGTTACAGTTACAATTAAACCATGGTTCTATATAGATTATGTTTTTATAGGAACTAGTAAACATGTACGTGCATTTGCAGGTGGCAATATAAAAAATTACAGGCCAAACGAAACTATACATGAATACATGGTGATGAAAATATTAAATACAATTAATTGACTTAATTCACCTCAAGCATTTTAATAGAGAAATTCAAGATTGTTGGCAAAGCTTTGCTTCCCACATAAGTTTCCACCTCAAAGCATTTTAATATAAAATATAATTTATTTTATATTTAATTTATGTTTTTTATTTAATTTTGTTCTTTTATTTATATAATATTAAAAATTGCAATTTGAGGCCAAAAAGGGTTTTTTTGCAAAAATAATGGGACAAGCACCTTGCAATGCATAGATCACAAAAAATTACCCAAAATCAAAAGAAAAAATCACATCAAAACATCAAAGTGCAAGTTATGGGCCTTATGACCTCCCAAAATTTGCATACACAATTAATATACAACTTGCGACTCGTGTCAACCAAGTCAATGGTCTAACCATTTGGAATGGACATTTTTTACGAAGTCAACAATTTTTGACATTTTTCTAGGCTTTATTCAAACCGGACCTAGAATCTTGACTAGGTGACCATTTGAACGGTTCAATGGGTTAGGTCAACAACAAGTTGAAGACACTAGATAATTCAAATACCGCTTTAGCAAGTTTTTTTAAAAGATCTAACAATGACGGCCAAAAAACACATCAAGTTTTTGGGGTCTTGTCTTTAAGACAAATACCATTTGAGAAGTGACTTGGTCTACCAAGCTTTTTAAAACACATTTAGAAGCTATCTATCACAGAAAAGACCAAAAAGCTTCATTTGAGGTTTGTCTTTTTGCACACATGTCTTTTCATCTTTCCAGCTTTTGGTTACCAAACAAAAAAAAGATCAATTTTCAGACTCTCGAATCTGCCAAAGCCCAAAAGACTGAAAAGACTTGCCAAACACCACCTCAGGCTAATCATGCCCATCCTTTATGTTAAAGACAATATCAAAAGCTTCTAAAAACCATGGGAACCCAGATCTTCAGATCTCACACTCCCRTGTATACGGAACACTGGCGTGTTAACTCGTGATTGGTTACGTAACTGCCTATACACAGCGGTGCAAACAGTAGATCCCSAGTGGAAAGATGGAGACTTGAATTTACAATGTTCAAAGATTCATGCTAAAACAAGCAAGGGAATAAGGCATGTTAAGAGAATAAAACCCAAAAAAAAAAAAAAATCAATACATACATGCATGGGCATTCAACAGTCACAAATAGGCCCATGGTAAATCTGTTCCATTTAAATCTAACCTCTTATAGATGGTGGCCAAATCGATCAAGTGGCGCATGGTCGGCCTGCCATGTGGGCAATTCCAAGGGGATTTGAGATCCGCCAAATGCTCAAGTATCTGAACAGAGAATTGTAAGAACATGTAAGCGCTAATATTTCTACCTCCTATCATCTGGAGAAGAGGGGTAAGGTAGATCAAATGAAAAGAATAAGAWAAAAAAGAAAAGAAATCCTGTACTTCTAACAGCTCGCCAATTGACATATCATACGCCAAATGAATAAATAAGCAGTTGTGGGAAAAATCATTATAAACAATCGATTTGCTAATATCTACAAGCATAGATACTTCACTATAACAAAAAAAAAATGATCTTGCTGTTAACAACTTACCTAATGGGGGAAGATTATGTTCACAGAAACATCAGGAACAACAAACATAAATGCACAAGACTAGCAGTATTACAATGGGGTCAAAGGAGTAGAAGAATTGGTACCTTTTGCATCTCATTTTTCCCAAGAGGATCTCCAATCATGACAGATGATCGGCAAGCACGTGATGCCAACATTGCACGGACTCTTGATGGGCAAACAGAATCTGGGGTATCCAGTCTGTAACTACTAACCATTGAGCACTCCCCTTCACTATCGGCAAGGGTAGAGATGAGCTCCTTAACATCTATATGATAAAAGAATGTTATTTTATGTTGTTCCATACTTCCATATGCATACATATATCTGTACAAGAACCATAAAATAAACCTGGTGAAAGTATTATTGAATAATTGCCAGAATACACATTGGATTGCACTGTGTATTGCATACTTCCATATGCATACATATTATTGAATAACAAGCTATTTTAAGTTCCACTGTCCAATTGATAGAATACACATTGGATTGCACATACCATATGGTTTTGAACCTTGAACCACCTATCCTAGTGATAGCAAAAAAACAGTGGCTTTCAGAACATCAGCCGAAAAGAAGGTTCTAACCTCCTGAGGATATTATTTTTGAGGCAGCTCTAGTAGTCAAGAAACACCCATCAAATGGATGATCAAGATAAGTGTGGGCACACAAATGTATGTAGGATGCTAAAAAAACGCATGTAGGACAATATCACCATAAGATGAGAAGCATGCCAAATAAGCAGTAATTACCTTCAGCACCAAAAGTAACGTTTTTACTGAAGGGGACAGCTTTTAGTTTAAAATGGCAACCAGGAGGAGCATGAATATCCTCTTCCAAAGTAAACCCATTTTTCCTAGAAATGCAAAGTTTGAAATGGACCTCATCAGTTAAAGAGCTAAAATTAAGCTGACAATTTATGTTGAAAAAGAGAGAGGGATGGACGGAAAAGGTAAAGAAGCATAAAATGCAATGTTATTAACACTATAAGAAAATTAAATGCATGCCAAGCTGAAGAGTTCCAATCTAGAGTAGACCAAAGTGCAAATGTAAACATCTTTGCTTCAAATGAATGTCTCCTGATGTATAAATTCCCTATCAAAGATTCTAACAGGTAGCATCTGGGTGGTATAGGCTCCTTAAAGGAACACTCTGGGTCATCAACCTTTAATCCTTTTCAACATAAGATTTGCTCAATTGCATAGTCAAGAGAGCAATAATAGTAGATCAAATACAGCTACAGACATCAGGGGAGAAAAGATTTTTGGAACTCCCAAGGCAAGTATTTCTCAACAGAAGTAAATATATACCTGTAGCATGTAACTAATTGTATTTCAGAAGTAATGGGTATCAAAAAAGCCCATCACCTAATGTTGTCCCAACTATCCAAGGTCTTGGGAAAGGTGGACTAAATATGGACCTAACCTTTTGGAATTCTTTCTCACAAAGTGGCCTCTTGCAGACTCGAACCCGCATATTTAAGCTTGTCAGCCTAAAATTTTACCATTACAACAAGCAATGCTCCTTCCTCCAATTAAAAAATACATGTGATACAGAAGTACAACCACATGCAATGCATGTATGGAAAGTATTAGTATGAAACTGCTAGAAAATGCATTATAAATTATTGGGTGTACAAGAACAACATTTCTGTTAGTTCATACCACATTATCTTTTTTTTTTCTGTACAAATACCAGTTTAGTTAACAGATAAATAAATACAATGCATAAAGATAAGGTCCACCTAACCAACTTGACAAGATAAAAGTATTAGTTAATGGCAGGCAAAAGTAGAACTACTTGAAGAATCCCACTATTTCAAACATAAAAATAAGTGGAGTGGGCATCAAAGTGGCCCTAAAGTTGAGTCTTGGAATCTCCTGCTTTACTTTTTCCTGATTTTTGAAATTTTGAAGTATAGGTTTAATTGGCCATTTTACATTTTGATGTGGGTTCCAATCAGTATAAGTTAGGTCGGTGTTAGGGTTCGTTTAAACTTTGTCATTGGATCAGTAGGTTGGAAACTGTGGTGTTTTTTCTCCTACTTCAGAACTAAAATGTCCTATATATGAATACCTACATGGACAAAGATATGGGGAACAGAGATTCCAACCTCCATTTTCTAAAATCCTATAAATGGATACTATACAGGTATGGTGTATCCCATATAAGATGTTTATATCATGCTTTTATATCAAGTTTGTGAAGCCAAATATCATTTCTCAATACTTTTATTTTGTAAATTTTAATTGAATCTAACATATACAGATTTTTTACAGTATGATTTGTTAAAGTATACCATTTTACATATTGTAAAAGTGTTAATACACTAAAATATACTCTAGAAGTTTGACACTGAATTCAGTGTCGTATCAGGTAAATAATTAAATATCATAATCAGCACTGATATGCCTTGGCATGTACAGGTATTATAATTATGGCCAGTGTTTTTTATCATAATCCACAAAAAAAAAAGAACTTGAGTAGAATTAGGGTTTCCCTATTCAGGGTGTATAAGCATGCACTATGTCTACTAAAACCCCTTAATTATATTCCTTAGAGGAAATACCCTTTGATTTTGATTTTATGTGAAAGAGCTACTTTGTAAGGATTAAACCCAATAACAAGTATAAGCAGTCCCATCAACTTGGACTCTTGGTGGGTTATACCCATGAGCAGGCCCCACAATTGGTAGATAAGTCATGAGACCCATACACCATTGGGTACTTATGTATTTTAAACTTACACATCTTAACAGTGAGTCCTGTTAATCGGTAAAAAGTGGGATCCACTATACTGATTTGGTAGTGGGTGTGGCCCACTTTAATGTTTTAACAATGGGTCTCACAAATAAATGGGACCCACTATACTAATCTGATAGTGGATGTGACCCAATTTGATATTTTAAATTTAATTATTTTAGCAGCGAGCGCCACTGGTAGGACCCACTATGATGACTTCATAGTGGGTGTGGCTCGCTTTGACATTTTATACTTGAATATTTTAACAGTGGGCCCCATTGTGGGACCCACTAGGTTGATTTGATAGTAGGTGTGGCCCACTTTGACATTTTATACTTGAATATTTTAACAGTGGGCCAGCTGATAGATGGGACCCACTAGGTTGATTTGATAGTGGGTGTGGCTCACTTTAATGTTTTATACTGAATATTTTAACTATAGGCCCCATTGACAAGTGGGACCCAATAGGTTGATTTGGTAGTGAGTGTGGCCCACTTTAATGTGTTTAAACTTAAATATTTTAACAACGGGCCCCACTAAAAGTGGGACCCACTATGCTGATTGTGCACTTGGATATTTAAACAGTGGGCCCTAGAGGTGTAAATCGGGTCGTGCCGCCCGCAGCCCGGAACAGCCTAGCACAACGGCATGTCGGTTGTGCCAAGCCCGGCATGATCGTGTGGGTCGTGTTGGGCCTGGGGTTTTAGGTCTACGAGTCGGGCTGGCATGGCACGCCCGATCGAAGCGTTCCACCCACGAACTGCGTGCCAACACGACCCATATATATTATTTATATATTATATATATAATATTTATATAAATTATAATTATGTAATAATATATAGTATATAATATATTAATAAAATAAACAATTGTTTTCAATTCTATTATATTAATTTATTTAATTATTGTATATATAAGCAATTATATACATCAAATTTCATTTAAAATTAAAATTTTAAGTTTTTTCAATTTTTTTAAATAAATAGCTTTGTTCCAATCCACGGCCCGGCCTGGCCCAAGGCTTGGCCCATGAACCAGCCCGGCCCGTAGCACGGCAAGGCACGAGCCCGCACAAGCTTGGGGAGGGCGGCACGGCTTGGGACGGCCGGCCTAGCTCGGTCCAATTTACACCTCTAATGGGCCCCACTAATATATGTTGTTTAAAAAATAAGCATGGCCCACTTTAAACTTTAATGTTCTAGTTGTGGGACCCACTAAATCAGCATTACTGTTATAACAGTAGATCTACTTGAATTTGGTAGACAGGATCCACTAATGGCAACATTATAATTTCCTGTTGCAAGATACAACTCATGGCAGTTCACAACCGTCAATGGTGGAGTCAAAATATATATTTCTTTATCACCGAGGTGGATAGGATCCACCGAATGAGTTTTAATGATTTGGTGTTGCAAGGTAAGATGGGGACCCACCAACTCATGACAGTTCACAACTGTCAATGATAGAGTCAAATTATATATTTCTTTATGAATGAGGTGGATAGGATCCATCGAATGAATTTTTTAACTTATATTGTGATTTGGTGTTGCAAAGTAAGATGGGGACCCACCAACTCATGACAGTTCACAGCTGTCAATGGTGGAGTCAAATTATATATTTCTTTATCACTAAGGTGGATAGGATCCACCGAATGAATTTTTAACTTATATTGCGATTTGGTGTTGCAAAGTATGATGGGGACCCACCAACTCATGACAGTCCACAAGTGTCAATGTGAGTCAAATTATATATTTCTTTATGACAGAGGTGGATATGATCCACCAAATGAATTTTTAACTTATATTGTGATTTGTTTACAGGTGGCAAGCCAACATCTCTCCCATTTTCAGGTGTATTGTCAGTGCACTGGGTTAGCCTATTGAAAGTTCCTTGGGTGGATAGAATCCACCGATCATATCAGAGGCTCCCCAGTATTAATTATTTTTTTTTGTGTGTGGTGGATAGGATCCACTGAATGTATAAGAAAACAGTGTATACAAGACTTAGAGTTAAACAAGACTCTAGGGAGAGAGAGAGATAAGATAAGATAAAGATTAAAACTGGAAAGTATTGGAAGGGAGAGAGGAAGAGATCAGAAGGAAGAAAGTACTACCTGTCTTTATCCTCCTCTTCTTCAATCAAAATTGTAGCTCCTATTTTATCTCCTTTCTCTTCTCTTCTTTCTTTCTTCTCTCCTTGTCCTCTTCTCTTCTTGCCCTTTTTTTGCCACCCATTTTTCTTCTCCTCTCTCCCTTATATAAAGGAGACAATTATGGGTAGGGAGGTTAGAGCAACCTCCCCAATCTTCATACGTGGAATGGTTGCTTAACTCCCCCCATAACCAGAATAAATTAAATTTTAATTTATGTGAAGTGGGCCAGCCGTCAAATTTGGCCCCTCAAGCTTTATTTTTTTTTACATCATATATATTATAATTTTCAATCCTAAACAGATTGCCCATAAGGCTTGACCTTAGTCCCTATCACATAAATCATGTAATTCAAATTTGAATCGTCCTCTTGGGATTATAAATTCCTGTCCCTGCTGTATTTTTTTCTATTTTTTGCCAAATAAGACAATTTTGGAGCGTCACTTTTCTTTGAACATGTCTCAACTCTCAAATAAATTGCTTTCCTTTTGTTCTTTCTCCTCTCTCTCTCTCACCAAGAAAGTTACTACTTTGATCACCAGTTGGTCTTCCTTAGAATTAATAGTTCCACTTTGGGAAGGTTCAACTTTCCTTGGGCCTTATGATTCCATTTGGGAAGCTACCATTTTGATAGCCTTAGCTAGTTTTCCTTGGACTCAACAGTTCTGCTATGGGAGGGCTAAGCTTTCCTTGGACCTTATGGTTCCATTTGGGAGAGTTATCTTTCCCTTTGTTTGAAACTATTGGTTCCAATCCCTATGAAAACCAATGTAGAGTTTAAAGCTCTTTGCTATATATCAGTCTAAATCAAGACTGATTATAGACTTCAAATCCATTCATTGTATGATTTCTTTGCAAATCTACCCATATATGGCACTAAAAATTCTATCCTTTTAAGGTGGATAAGATCCACATCCTGTGCTGTAATAGTGGATAAGACCCACATCTTAATAATGGATAACA